ATTGGAAGCCAGTGCAGCTCGCGGAGGATAAGTGTAACGTGGGTGTATCGAGGTAAACCCACAATCGCTCGCGCGGCTGCATTCTGGACAAGTTGAAGTCTGGTATTTTAAAAAGGGACATGGTGGCTCGGTGGCTAAGACACTGAGCTTGTTGATCTGAAAGGTCTGCAGTTCTGCGGTTCGAATCCCTAGCGCCGCATAACGGAGTGAGTGCCCATTACTTGTCGCAGCTTCTGCCAACCTAGAAAGCATGTAAAGATGCAAGTAGGAAAAATAAGAACCACCTTTAGTGGAAAAGTAATATCATTCCGTGAGCCTTTGGCATTTAATCATGCCAGCCACATGACCACAGAGACATCTTCAGACAGTGCTGGCTCTTCAGCTTTGAAACGGAGATGAGCACCGTCCCCTAGAGTTGGGAACAACTAGCACATATGTGTGAGGGAAACATTTACCTTTTATTTTAAAAAGCTTTGGGTGATTTGAAATAGAGCTTACAACACTTCATTTGCAACAATCTACTTTGGGAAGAGGGTGGAATGGATGCATCTATTTTCCTTTCCTCTTGGCACAACTTGAAGCCATCCCCCAGAAAAAGACAAGTGGCAGTCTTTAGTCCCCTTGAAAATGGATTTGTGATAGATTTTCTTACAAAGGTGGAGATTCTGAAAGCTGAACCAGATTCTTTATGTGATTAAAGCAACTGCTACCCTTTATTATTATCAGTTCAGGATATTTGGTATGCATTTTTTCTCATTTTTGTTCTTTCTTTCCTCCTTACCTTCCCCCACACCCCACCACCACCACCACCACCCCCGCTGTGACAAACCGCAGTGAATTTTGGGCTGAAAGCCAAAAAAAGTGTAATTCACCCAAGATCGTCTTTGAGCAATCGGTCCATGAGGTTTTCGCTATCATCTGAAAAATCTTACATGAATGGTCCAGCAACATCATCAGACAATGGAAACTCCTCTTCAAACAATTGTCCTAAAGGAGAGGGTTTGGCCCCTTCCTTAGTCAATGATGACATAGAAAAGAAAGTGTATATGAATAAAGATGGCAGCCTATCAGTTGAAATGAAAGTCTGCTTTCATCTGCTCTCTGATGAGACTCTTCAATGGTCCACACAAATCAAGAAATCCAGCTTGATGAATCAGACTCTCTGTGAAGAATCAGATGTCATGGAAGATAATCAAAGTGTGCCAAGAGAAAAAATTAACCAAGAGACTAGCTCTGAAATAGAAGACTCATTATATCCTTGTGATGCTGACTCTTACATTTCAACTCTCGATGAATCTGAAAACGAGGTGACCTATTGCCATTGTTGCAGTAAGTCCCACAGCAACTATGATATTTGGAAGAACCCCATGCATGCTTCTCAAAAAGAAGAGCCAGGAGTAACAAACACTTGGTACACACACTCTTCTTGCTCAAGCACTTCATCACACCAGAGAATTGTCCACAAAAAGAGAGCCTCCATTGAGAGTGTCCATACGTCATCAAATGAAACAAAACATTCTGAACACCTCATACAAGAGATTTCAGATTTCTCAGAGACTCTTGGGAATAAAAGGGAGAACGGCAGAATAAAGAAATGCTGCTGTCAAGATAACTGTATGCAAACAAGCAAAAGCCAAAAAGAGCTATCAGAGAAAACAGATAGTGTAGCTAGCTTGGCCAGTTCAGAAAGTGAACATGGTTCCATCATGAGGAAAGAAAGAGATGAAAGTAGAAGAACTAGAGCTAGGAGTAACAAATCAGAATGTCAGTATTCTATAGAAAGCCAGATAAAAGTGTTAGAGGAAACAAGTAGTGTGGTAAGGACAATTTCATCCTGTAGCATTAAGGAAAGAGAAGAAGTTATTGGCTGTTCATCTTCTCCAAATAGTGCCAGTAGCAAATCCGGTAAAGATAGTACATTTGGAACAAAAGACAAAGTAGAAAAGATTTCAGATAATGATCACACACCATCATATAATAAAATATCATTTTCAAGTGAAGATTCCCCCCCTAAAATTGCCACACAAGTAGAGGTTGAAAAGGAAGAGGAGGATAATGAAATAAATTCAGTTTCAGAAAAGATGGTGTCCAATGGTCTTATCAAGGATGAAGTCCATAGATGTAGCAAAAGGTCTAAGACCAGAGTCTCCCAGACCAAAGTTTGTAATGAAGAAGGTAGAAGTGATAGCAGTGAAATGGATATCCATAGTGCTGCTTTATCTGCCTCCAGAATCTCCAATAGAAGCAAGGGCAACCAATATGACTCAAAAGAAGACTTCAAAGTATCTAGTGGGTCAAGCAGAGGATCTATTATCAAGAGAAAGAAAACCAAAAGACCTTTACATGTAGAGGATGGAAAATCAAGCAGCGGGACAACCTCTTCTTCAGAAAACTCAAATGAAGTAGGGAAAAGAGACAAAGAGGGTCATTTATCTCATAATTCTTCTCATTCAAATACGTCATATTTAAGTGAAGCAGCTCCCAACAGTGAGGAAAATTCCAGCAGGATATCTAAATGCTCTAGTAAGTCCTCCAGAAGTAGTCATAAAAGGATCCAGAGAGAAGATACCGATGTATCATCTTCTATTTCCAATGTTTTGGAATCTGATGAGAAAAATGGGACCGATACTGCCAAAAATAGTACCCAGGAAAACATTTCCGGGCAAGGAAGTAGCTCAGAATTGATGTGCTCCAAATGTGGCCACGTAGCAGAAACCAGAAGCAATTATCTTCAATGTGGTAGTTCAAGCAACTTGGTACATTCTGATGCCAAGAGCACTTGTTCGGAGATGCAAGCCTCAGAGAATAATGATGTCAGCTCGCAATCAAGCATAGCACCATCTTCCAAACCAAGACAAAAAAAGAGAAGCAATGCTACCCTGAAATATTGTAGCCAAGTTTCAGAAAAAGCATCTACAACCCAGTTCAATTTCCACTCCCCTGTCCCCCCCAGAGGGAGACCCAGCAGCAAGAACAGTCGGTCTCTGCTGATGAACATCAACAGTGCCCCTGCGAGCAATGAATTGGAGCCAACGGCAGATGAACTGCAAAAAGAAATGGATGGTTCACAGTTGCCTGAAATGGACACAGCAAATGAGGCAGAGGAAAAGGAAGGCTCTGGCCACAAGGAAAAGCAAACAGAGGAAGAGACAGTGGTCCAAGCAGAAGCTGCTTCAGAAACTTGTGACCAAATCATCCCATCTTCACTTCCCAATGCCTCTCCAGAAGAAGTCGTGCATGAGTGGTTGAGAAAGATCCCTTCAGAATCTCTGCTGATGAAATGTGAGATGGAGAAAGATGAGGAGACAATTGAATTACATGGTGAAATTCCCAACTGTTCAAACAACCAGGATTCATTGGAAAAGGGATGTAGTGAGAAGGAAGATGCAGAAGATGGTAAACACCTAGCAGAAAATGATTGTCCCCAGGACGAGAAGGCTTCTGAAATTATATCAGAAGAAGTGGAAACTAGCCAAGGAGAGGGCCAGTATTCTGACACCCCCAGCCAAAACAACCACAAAAAAGACTTGCCCAGCACCATTCAAATCTCTGTGAAGATTATGAAAGTGTTGCTGGCTTCCAAACACGAAACAAAATTGGAACGGTCCTATAGTTTGCCTGAAGTGTCTCCTACATTAGGAAAAAAACTCAGCAACTCAGCCAATATTTTGATACAATGCCTTGCTTCCCTACAGCTCCTGGATGAAGCATTGGATTCATCCAATAAACAAAATAAATGCCTGAATGGGTTCAGATACAAAGAACTCTTAAACATTTTCCAGGCAGTGTGGTTTGGAAACATACTTGAAAATGGGGATGCCAATTTAGGGCTGCAAGGAAAAAGCCAGATAAAAACGTCTTCAAGTTTCAAGGCCCCTAATTCAAAAGATGGTGACTTTACAACAATGACCTCTTCGGGGATTGATATAAATAGTGGTGATGGAGGTTCGGGAGAAGACAGCGGTGTTGGTGGCCATGATTGTGCCTTGTTAAAAGAGAAAAGAGATAAAGCCAAACTCCCTGAAGAAGGAAAACCAGAGCAGGAAGATGGTAATGAGGAGGAGCCAGAGGAACATTTTCAGCCACTTTGTTCAAAACTGGAAAGTGAAAGTGAAGCAGAACTTGCTGGAGTTCAGGAGGTAATAGAGGCAAAGGAAGACCAGGATCTTGAGAACAATATTGAATTGGACAGAAATAGTACACATGATGATCAAAATGTGGAGGATGCAGAGAATGTCTCTAATGAAGATAACATCCTGATGGAGGCTCATACAGACACCATGGCCAAAGAAGTAGAAGAAAATCCCAGTGAAGAGGCAGGCAACAATGAGACAGAACCTGGCCCAAGTGTAAATGAGGCTATTGATGAGAAAGAGGCCAAGATCAATTCAGAAAACCAGTCTGAGACTACAGATGATACAGCAACTAGTAACATATCTCATCAAAGCACAGTGAAAGTTTCTCCAACGATCCAACAAAGATCCAGCAGCCAGGACCCAGTTTGGGTGCTAAAACTTCTGAAGAAGATCGAGAAGGAATTCATGACTCACTATGTCAGTGCCATGAATGAGTTCAAAGTGAAATGGAACCTGACAAACAGTAAAGAGTTGGATTTGATGATTGAAGAACTGAAAGAAGAAGTGAGCAGAAGGATACAAAAGAGTGTGGAAGAAGAACTAAATAAAATCAAAAGCAGAACAGGAAAGACGATTCCAAAACCTCCAGAAAATGAATTAAGGCAAGAATCTACTCCACAACTAGAAAACCGGAGGCGCCGTTTGACGAGTATGTTCTCACTCAATAACGAGAGCAGAAATTCAAATAAGCAACTGAAATCAGGGAACATTGACAACGATAACTTCTTTAATAATACAATTCAAGAAGATGAAACATTTGATGTTCAGCTAAAAGATGAAGAGTATTGCCCCTGCGATGAGTGTATGAGGAAAAAAATGGTGGCCAAGACTATACATCATACAGCTGAAGTGATGGCTAAGGCTCCAAACCCAGTCTTGAAGGCTTTTGATCTACAAGACATCCTTAACATGAAGAACACCAGTGTTGCTCATAGGAAGACAGACTATGATATTAGTGAAGCAGAGCAGGAAGAAGAAGCCCAACATGAAGCAAAAAAAATGGTGGAAAATGATGGGGAGGAGGAAGCAAAATGTGTGGAGGAGCAGGAGGAGGGGAAGGAGGAGCAGGAGCAGGAAGAGGAGAAGGAAGAGGGACAGGAAGAACAGCAGGAGGAACAGGAAGAGGAGCAGGCGGACCAGGAGGAGGGGCAGGAGGACCAGGAAGAGGAGAAGGAGGAGGGGCAGGAAGAGGAGCAGGAGGACCAGGAGGAAAAGAAGCAAGGGGAGGGTCAGGAGGAGGAGGAGGAACAGGAAGAGGGACAGGANGCTGAACTGCAGATAACAGTCAGCTGAAGTGGCCTGCAGTACTGCACCGTAACCACTGCGCCACCTCGGCTCTTCTGTTCTCCTGAAGTGTGCCATAGAAAGTGGGACATCTGTTATGCAAATTGAAGCAACCCATTTGCTTTTTGGGTTACAAGTGCATGTATATGAGGTGCCCTCACATCTGAATATTTCTATGTGTATCTGAGATGTGAGAAATGTATATCCTTAAGTTTTAAAAGCTGAGTATTTGATTTGATCTCCCAAATACTGGTTTCCTACTGTTGACCCAAAAAGCCTAGAGATTTTTTGGAAACCTCAACAAAGATCTTTCTGGGCAAAGGTTTGGGAATCAGTGTTAATAAATATGAAAGAAGGGGATGGCTTTGCAAATGGTATTAAATATAATTATGGAGAGTCTCAGTCATTCAGGTCATGGTCGTCTTAAGGGGGATTTTTCAAAAGGCGGTGGACTATGTTTTTTGTTTGAGGAAGAAGAAGATGTTTAACATCTCAGTTCTGCCCTGATGATGCAGCTTCTTGGATGAAAAGAAAAACTTCTTCCTCCTCAGACTAAAAACATAGTCCAGTTGCCTTTTAAATGTAATTCGTTTTGTTCAAACTTTAGCTTATCTTGCTCACTATAAAGCTGATTCCAGGTCTTTATATTTCTTGGCCCATTTTACTTCTATTTTGTGTCAGTGTGTCAAAAAAATTGACAATATCCTGCATAATACCAATACTTTATCAACCAATGATAAAGCAGCTAAGATTAGAAGAAGGCACTTCCAGAAGAAGAATATCACTACTTCCCTGTTTACAAAATGTATCTCAGTGGATGGCATCACATTTTTTACATAACTGAGAAGCTGTGGCCCACAAGTGCTATCTAGCATGAAAGGCCTCTAGATCTGAGTTGAGCACATGTTTTGCACATAGAACATGCCAGTGTTCCTCATTCCAGCATGTCCAAGCAGAAAAAGTAAATCCTAATTCTGGGATCAAAGTTTTCAAAGTATTTTGGAGCACTGAACATAAAACATAGAATCGTAGGGTTGGAAGCGACCTAAGAGGTCTTCAAATCTAACCCTTGCTCAAGGCAGGAGACTTTATACCATCCCAGACAAATGGTTGTCCAGTATCTTTTTTGAAAACCTCCAGTGATTGAGCACCCACAACTCCATTGTTCTTCCTGTCCTTTGCTTTAGGAAATCTGGATTGATGATCCTAAAGAATGCATAAGGAAGGATAACATTTTGTCTTTCTCAAAGTATTAACTCAATTCTATTCCACAAGTTTACTCTGTTCCTCAAAAATTCTGTCTTGTTCTCTGTTTTTATTATATTTTTATTTTTGAATAAATGCAAACAGACAAAACAGAACAAACACCACAAAAATATCTTCCATTACAAATTGTAAAAAGTGTGTCAATTGGTTACAAAGAGCTTTCATGCATCCCTTCCACAGTTATCACCTATAATTCATATCAAGTTATATATTTTAAATCAAGTATATTTATATATATTACTATCATCATACCTCAATCTCCATATGACTACAATTGTTTTTACGTCCCTTTATATAAAATATTCCAAAATTTAAAGGAAAACCACATGATGGCATTCCATTATCTATTTTCAATATCATCCAGCCACATTACACCTTTATAACACATTCAAAATAAAAATTAATTATGTTTAATAACGAAGTTTCTAAGCCTCCTTTCTTAATCACTGCTTATAATTTATATCCAGTTTCCCTTTTATCGTGTCAATACAAATATTACACTATTATCATTATCGATCATTTATTTAACAATATCCATCATCATTTCATATATATTTTTGGGTCTTAGTTTAACTAAATTTAACTTACTCTTTAAAAAAAAAATCTGTCTTGTTCTCCTTTAATATTGCTCCTGATTAGTTCAGACATGCTTTTTACGATTTGGACAATTGGAACATAGATACAAAGAAATATGTTTCTATAAATAAGCATGATATAGGTTGGGGTGTCAAACTCGTGATGACACATTGTCATCACATGAAGTATTGTAACTTTCCCCCCTTTCACTAAACTGGGGGCGGGCGTGGCCAGTGCATGACGCATCCAGCCTGCAGGCCATGAGTTTGATACCCCTGGTGTCATGGGCAAAATTTGAAGTGTGTTTGTGTATATCTGTGTCTGTGTGAGTGTGGGTGCACCTTGCATGCATGCATATAGATAGAAACAATTTTAAAGCTCAGAAATCAGGTTTGGATCCTAGAAGTTATATATGCAAACAAGAAACTTTAAGGAAAATAAATTTGACATAAATGGAGGCAAAGCTGGAACAAGAGGGTGTCCAAGCAATTGTGAGAAAATGCACTCTCAAGATTGTGCAACAATTGTCAGGTGGGCTTTGCACAAATATTTCATTAAATCTTCTTAATTCTACTAATAAAGAGGTGGTAGGATGAGATATAAAATATATGAACTAATTAGATGAATTTCCAGCTAGGTTATTTGTTTGCTAGACTTCTGGTTATAGGGATATATGTACCTTCATGTGTAGGTCCGGTAATTATAATTATACTCCTTTTTTTTGCATTGCAGTTACCTCTAAACCTTCCGTAGGATGAGCCTACCACCTGTTGATTGTCAGTTCACCAGTTCTTATAGCAATGAGCAACCAGTTCTTCCAACAGTTCGTACAAATGCTGTCACCCAGGTGCCTCCAGCCAAGAAAATAACGTTCTACAAAAGTGGGGACCCACAGTTTGCAGGAATCAAGATGGCCATCAATCAACGCAGTTTCAAAAGTTTCAATGCTCTCATGGATGATCTTTCCCACAAGATTCCCTTGCCTTTTGGGGTACGGGCCATCACAACCCCACGGGGGATACACTTCATCAGCACATTGGATCAGCTGGAGGATGGAGGGTGCTATCTTTGTTCAGATAAGAAATATGTCACACCTCTTAACGCTGGTGTTGCCAACCGGAAGTTGGGTCCCCAAAAGGTTAGACAGACAGACAGTGTTCTCAAGAGAGTAGTTCAAGATATCAAACAAGAAGATTACTCAATGGCTTTCACCCAACAGAGTCCAAGGATACCCAAGAAAATCACTCTGATCAAAAATGGAGATATTACAACACAGTTGCCAATTATCCTGAACCGTCGAAATGCACAAAGCTTCAAAGTTCTCTTGGATGAAATTTCAGAAATTATGCAATTCACAGTGAGGAAGCTGTACACAATAGATGGGAAACGGGTGAGTCTCGAGTCTTAATGCTGGCATAGCACTAAATGCAAATGCAAAATTGGACCATTTATTTCATAAGTCTAATCTGAATGTATAAATTTCTCTGTGATCATAATGCATGACAATTATATTTACCCAAAAATCAGCTTTTCTATTTTTCTAAACGTAACCGCAATCTAAGGACAGTTATCAGGATGCTAATCTTGGAAAGTTAAGCTTGGCCAATAGATATACTTAACTACAAATGTTTTTAAACCATAAATAAAATAAGGATTTTCCACCGTAAGTTTGACGTGGGGCTGCCTTGGAAACAGTGAAGGGCTGGCCCATAGTGCCTCTGCCAATGAAAATGGAACTCGGGAGGACCACACACAGCCCGCCCAGGCTCTGTTTTTGGCCAGGATGGCCTCCTGCAGTCCTCTGCCAGTGAAAATGGAGCTTAGGAGGCCTATGCATGCCCCTCCCAGGCTCTGTTTTCAGCCAGGATGGCCTCCTGCAGCCCTCTGCCAGTAAAAATGGAGCTTGGGGGGATGTCCTCCAGAGCCAAGGTGGCGCAGTGGTTAAATGCAGCACTGCAGGCTACTGCTAGATCAGCAGGTCAGCGGTTCAAATCTCACCGGCTCAGGGTTGNAGCAGGAGGAGCAGGAAGAGGGTGAGAAGGAGGAGCAGGAAGAGGGTGAGCAGGAGGAGCAGGAGGAGGGGCAGCAGGAGGAACAGGAAGAGGGGGAGCAAGAGCAGCAGGAGGAGGAGGAAGAGCAGGAGGAAGAGCCAGAAGTGGAGCAGCAGGAGTCTGTGAAAGGAGAAGGGGAGGAGAACGAAGAGGAGGAAAAACCCAACATAGAAGATGAAGAAAAGGAAGGAGAGTCTATGAGAGAAGATGAAAAAAAGGAAGCAGCAAAACAAGAAGATGAAGAAAAAAGTGAGACAGAATCTGTGAAAGAAAAAGAAGAGGAAGAAAAAGAAACAGAAGAGGAAGAAAAAGAGGATGAAGAACAGGATGAGGACATGAAAGTAGAACAAGATGGAGAACAGGAAGAAAATGATATAATATGTGAAGAAAATAATCAGGAAATGGAAGCCAAAAGTGAAGAAGATAAAGAATTGAATGATGAAGAGGAGATTGATGGAGAACAAAAAGAAACCCCAAAAGATGACCAAGAAGCTGAAGATGAACCTAATGTGACAGATAATAGTGCAGTAGAAATGGATGAAAAAGAAAGCCAAGGAGATGAACCTGCAGAAAATGTTGGTGAATCTCAGGCCATTATTGAGGAAGAGATTCCTGATAGTAGTGAACAGAAATCTGAGAACAATGCCAGTTTGGGGGCAAAAAGTGAGGCATGTTCAGAAACAGCAGAAGTTGAAGAAGAGGATGAAAATAAGGAGGGTGATGAAGCTGGAGAGAATGAAGCAGAAGGAGAAGATAGCAATGAATCTGTTCAGAACCCAGAAGATGACAGAGGAACAGAAGAGAATGGGACTCCTGAAGCACCAGAGAAAGGATCTGAGGGGATTTTTTCACAGCAGTCTCAGGAAGGATCTGAATATAAAAGTGATGAAGATGAGTCTAAGAAAAAGGAGAATATTAGTAATGAGGATGGTGACTGTGGAAGTGATGGGGAATCTAAATTGGATATCGAGAGTAAGCCTGCAAAGATGTATCCAGACAGTAATGAAGAGGAGGAAGAAGACCAATCATCTCAGGCAAGTTTTGTGATGGGAGAAGATCCCCCAAATGAAGACAATGAAGATAGTCATTGTGTCTCTAAAAAGAAGAAGCAGGACTCAAATATTATTGATCAAGATGATCTGGACTTTTAAAATGAATTGACTTGAGCATGTTTGACATATAGTATATCACTGTACAATTACACATTTACACTGTTATACAAGTTTATACTCACTACTTTACATTGTAGCCAAGAGTCATTTCTTCAGTGTTACATGAAAAGATATACTTAAATATTTACAAAATGTGAGGGGCTGTACTCACTTCTGTGATATACTGTATTTGGATTTTTTTTCTCAACTATTAAATGAGACTTTAAGGAAAAACACCACCTGGTATGACTTCTGCATAAAACAAAATATTTTCCTTCTCATATGTTTAAGGCCTGTAGAATAGAGATTTCTTATAGCAAAATCTTTGTGTTATGTATATCACTGTTATTTTTTTGAGCAAACTTTCACACTTCTAGTCATGGGCATGAAAACAAACAGTGCAGGTTTCCTCTTAAGTCTATTCCTGAAATCTAATGCCTTCTAATTCATATTCCAAGATTAATATCAACATACAATGGATGACGTATCCCAATTTATTGGTTAAATGTTAAAAAAGATAACAGAACAGAGGAAATGTAACCTCCCATAATCCCTTATAATTAGACTTTCTATCTAGGGGTAATGGGAGCTATAATAGAATGTGCCATTTTTTCCTAATAAGTATAGATATATTTTCCCTTAATTAATTTACCAATATGTATCTGTTGGGTATGCTGAATGGTAAATGGCATTCATAAGCATAAACTTAATTAATCTGAAATAAATGATCAGGTAGGAGATGATGAAAAAGTCCTAATTCCACTGCTAATCAAAATTGATGGTGCTAATTGAGGTGGACAGATACTTCAGTTTGATACTGGCTGCCAGCCGAATAAAATCTGAAGGTAACAGCAGCCATCTGTGAAAAGTAAGGTTAATTCCAAACACCCTTTAGGGAGCAATCTCATTAGGTTCGGTAGGGTTAATAACAGTGCTCAGTATTATATTATTAATGTGGTTCACAGTTACCTTTTTAAATAAAAATGCAAAGACAAAGATTTTTGAGAGGGTTTTTCGGGGGGGTTTAAATAATGTGATTCATAGAGATGTTTTGCTGAGATTCCTGACAACCCAGTTTATGAAATCTTTTGAGAAAAATGAATTCTCCAGTGACAAAAATGGCGAGGGACCTGGGATTCCGTCCCCTGCAAGGAAAGAAAGCAAAAGTGCATCATGCTTAGCTCAGGTGAAAAAGAGGAAATCTGATAACAATAAATGTAAGAGAGCAGTGATTTCAAATGTAGTTTACTCATTACTAAAGGGTTAAGCCTATGCACCTCCAATCATTCTGCATGTAAAAAAGTTATAAGCCTGCAACATACAGTAACTTTGCTGCTGCTAGTGGTATGTTACTCAATTCCTATCAAGATACCTACCTTAGATAGGAAAGAAATGGAACAATTTGAGTGATGACAGTAAAGGGGTCTTTTAGGTTGGTTCACAGGCGATTCACAAATCTCCTATTTCTCCTTCCAACCCTTCTTCTATATCCTGTTAATAGGACTGTTTTTGAACACAGGTTTAAGTCCTTTCTAAAAGAACATTAAGTCTGTATTCAAAAATAGTTTGAATAGCAATAGCACTTAGACTTATATACTGCTTCACAGTGCTTTACGGCCCTCTCTAAGTGGTTTACAGAGTCAGCATCTTGCCCCCAGCAATTTGATTTTACCCACCTCGGAAGAAAGGAAGGCTGAGTCAACCTTGAACCTGGTGGGACTTGAACTGCCAAATTTCAGGCAGCCAGCAGTCAGCAGAAATAGCCTGCAGTACTACCCTCTAACCACTGCACACCGAGGAGTAAGAGTGTTGCAGGGAGCACAGAATAAAGATAGAAAAGGAAGATACCCAACAGGATTAATACAGATAGGCCTCAACTGGCAACAGTTCATTTAGTGACTTCTCAAAATTACAACATCACTGAAAAGAGTGACTGTCATAACTAGCAGTACCAGAAGTGGCCTGAGAATGATTTGGCCGCAGGAGTGTGAAAGTGGCGGCCTGTGGGCAGATGCATCACATGAGGCCACTCCATCCCAGTTGAATGGGAAATAAGTTGCGAAACGTCATGTGACAGCAACGTGACATGCCGAATTTGACACTAGTGGGCTAGGGAGAACAATGTGTACAACAATAGGCTTCCTTAATCATGCCACTGTTATTGTGCCTATCATAATAGCAAGAATTAACACTATATCACCCTGGGCATAGAATGGACATGGAATGGACAAAGTAGACACAACTAACTGTAAAGCTGCTCACTTTGGCAGCACATCAGGGATGGGTTCTGGCCACCATTACTACCGGTTTGGCACCTGAAAAATGTGTGCATATGCTTGCATTTGCACTTAAAACAATCTTCACATGCGCACATTTAAAAAGGAATAAAAATTACATTTTTTCAATGAAGATTGTTCTGCGCATGTGCAGAACAGAAAATCAAGATGGCACCACCGAGGATAGAATGGTACAGTCACGTGTCCGCTGGAGTTACTACCTATTCGGCTGAACCGGACTGAATAGGTAGGAAGCCACCTCTGTAGAACATATACTAACATTGGGACTAACTGTAATGCATTGCACAAAAAACTTTGGAATCGCAGTTGCATGAGATTGGTACAGAAAATGTTGCTCAGTCAGGTGGACAGAATAATGCTTCTGTATGAAACCAAAGAGAAGTAAAAAATAATAAAAAGAACAAAAAAGGTAGCCATGTGAAATCCTACATGGGCAGAAGCAATGGGAAAGCTGCAATGAAGCAGGTAGTGACAGAAATAGCAAAGCCCATCTAGCAAACTCCGCCCCCTTTCCCTGTTTCAATTCACCTGTGCAGTATAACTAACCTCCAATGAAGCATAGAATCAACGCTCTTTCAAAAGAGAGATAAATTCACACTCATGATGAGGTTGCATAAGACCTAATTAACACAATGGAAAGCACTTATCAGGCATTATGCCACCAGATGCCTCTGCTGGAGTTTGGTATCTCCTCTGTCCCAATCCAAAATGACTAGTACATCTCATGCAAGCCCCTTACAGCTGGCAGACCAAGGAAGCAAGAACTACATGGATTTCAGGAAGGCATTTTTAATGGCTACTGAGTTAAAATAATAATCTTGAAAACTGCAAGATTAAATTCCTAGGTGGACTCATAGCAAGTCAATTAAGGGGAACTGCTTTGAAGAGATTTCTTCTCATGGTCTGCCTACCTAGGTTGTGTATTACCTTTCCTCACATTTCTTCCCCCCTCAACTTCCCACACCGTCCCACCAGTTGGTGAAATCTGCCAGATCTTATCCATCACAGGAATTGTGGCACTAAGAATGATTTCAAGCACCCTCGGTTTTGTGCTGGGGATTAAACTGAAGGCAACATCACAAAAGCATGGCAGAATAAAACATGAATATTCATGCTGTGCTTAGGGGAAAGTGAGAAAGATTCCCCAAGTCACTGCAAAAACATCATGCTCCACAGTGTCACTCAAAACTCTTTTTCACCAAACTGAATGAGAATTAATGTGGGTCTGGTAGGGAGGGGGGGGATTGCAGGATAATTTGTCTGCTCAACACTGGAATCACATCTCTTCATATCCAGACTGTTTTCCTCCACAAAAGGATTTGACTCAGGGATGGGCTTCAGAAATTTTAGTAAAGAGTTCTCTGCCCGGTTGCTGGGTGGGCATGACAATCAGAGGTGGGTTCCTACCAGTTCGCACCTATTCGGTAGAACCGGTTCATCAAATCTACCAAACCAGTTAGAAGAGGTTCCACCAGTGGACCTGGAAAGCAGGCCACACCTACAGAAGAGGTTCCAAAAAATTTTGAAACCCACCACTGGTCCTTGGATATGATTATTCTACACTATCATGCTCATATTTATAAAACTCAGTGCCTCTGTGAAAGGTAAGGATGACTACTGCATTTGTGGTGCAATCAGAACATTGCGTGTGTTGAAGTTGTTTTAATGCAAACCAAAGATGCCTTTTAAAAAACAAGTTTACATCATATTCTTATGCATGCCAGTGCTGTGTGTGAGGTAATTTAAGGTGGTTCTGACAAGTGTTGTCGGCATCTTCATATCAGGTCACATGGGCGGCAAGCCACTCCCATCCGGTCACATGGGCGGCAAGCCACTCCGGCAAAGGAGGCCACACCCACAGAGTAGGTTCGAACAATTTTTGAAACCCACCACTGATGGCAATGGTGGGTGTGACCTAGTCAACCTCCATGGTGAGGGGGCATTTTTGCCCTCCCTGGGCTCCAGAGGCTTTCTTTGAGCCTCCTGGCGGGGGGTGGGGGGACAAAAACGGCCTCCCCGGGCTCTGGAGGCCAGAAACGAGCCCATTTCTGGCTTTTCTGAACTTCTGGTAGGCCCATTTTTTCCCCTCTAGCCTCTGAGCCCTGCACTTACCTGCATCCAAAAAGGGTTGTATGGGGACTCCTGGGAGGGATGATGTAAGTGGGGTGGGGCCAGCCTGGAGTGGGATTTGGGGGTTCTTCAAATTGCACAGAATCTTAGCTAGAGGTTCTCCCGAACCCCTGCAAACCTCCAGCAGCCCACCCCTGATTTGACTCATGATGGGATGGGCATGTATGTTTAACATTAGTGCCAGGTTCAATGGGATACAAAGTCCTGAATGAAACCAGTTCCCTGAATGGATTGAGAAAAGGCCACAGAAAAATAGTAGGAATGTAAGTAAGTGTGTGTGGGTGTGTGGGTGTGTTTCCCAACAGTTATAATATAAGACTGGGCTAATTGACTCCCAAGAGCACACTATTGATTGTTAAGTACCATACTGAATTGGAAGTTTATATCTTTGGAATAATACTTAATTCTGACTAGGGAGAAAAAAATATCTTCCAAGCAAAAAAGAAGAAGCTAGTGGCTTGGAATCTGGTCTTCCCAATCCTAGTCCACCTGTTAGTCACCACACTATACTGGCTCTCCTATTTGATTTCCTGTGTTACCTCATCTCTATTCTAGATATTGTCGAGCCTTTAT